GCAGGTTGGTCCCATTTGATTGTCATCCTGCTGCTAGCATTGATCTGACTAGAAATGTTAAAAAAACCCTCACTAAATTCTTCATTTTTGTCTATTTTCAGCTATTAAAACACAAGACAACTTGACAAGGAATTTTCAAGCCCTGCAAGATTACTCACCCCCAGTATAAGAGTTCTTCCCTCCCCATCCAGCAGTGTGCACAATATGCCATTGAACAAAACTATTTCATATCCCTCTCAGAAACAATGAACACTCACAGACCATGCAGAGCAGGTCTGGGAGATTGTTTGAGAAGATGCCAATAACCCATGGGATGCTTCTAAATTCTTTAAAAGTTAACAAAGCAGCAGTGACCACAATTATGTATAATTTGCATTATCTGTACATAATATTTATTAGCTCAAATGCAAAATCTCTTGGGAAAACCACCAGAAAATATCTTGCTGTCTTGCAGGCAAAGAACATTTCTGTACTTTTTCATTCTCTCACATGGCATTAAGGCAAGCAGGTATTTAACACCTCTAGGGACTTCCTGCAGGGTGAAGAAGGGCTACATAGTTCAGACAGCCATGAGCCAGAAAGAATGCTGAAAGCAAAGGGAGAAAAGGCAAAGAAAGTGAATGGGTTTTTTAAAAAAACTATTGTCAACTCTTCTTGCGACACAACATATCTCTGGCCCTGAACATTGATTGGCTCATCTCAGTAAGGCATCTAGAGAATCATGTCAAACAGAGGTGACAAGCGAAGGTACTTTAGAACTAATGGACAAATTAAAAAGTAACAAGTTGTGAGGGCCAGATGGCATTCACTTCACAGTTCTTAGAGGCTTAAATGTGAAATTGCTCAACTATTAACTGAAACATGTAACTTGTCACTGAAATCAGACTCCTTACTGATTGAATGGAATGCAGCCAAGTTAACAACAATATTTAACAAATTACAGACTTGTCAACCTAATTTCTGCACAAGCTAAATTTGGAATAAAGTGAAAAACCAAGGCAGAACCTAAAACACACAGAAGAGCCAGACTTTCTGGCATGGTTCTGCCTCACTAATCGCTTTTCATATTCTTAACGAAAACATGTAGATGATGATGACATCCAAAGGTTTCTAACAGAGCCCTTTTGCTAACAGCTGTTAGAAAAAGGAGCAGGTCTAGAATAAACACTTTCCTATAGATCAGTAACTTGCTAAACATTTGAGAGCAGAGGGAAGATTAAAAGTTGTCCACAGGGAAAAGGAAACCATGAAGTCCTCCAAGGAACTGCACTACAAACTATGCTGCCGTGATTATTGCTACTACTACAATTATTGTTATGTGCAGTCAAATCAGAAATGACTTTGAGTGACCCTAATAGGGATTTCAAGATATTGAAGGAGTGGTTTTATTATTTCTACCCCGCCCCGTGAGTTTCCATGTCAGAGCTGGAGGATCAAACTCAGGTCTCCCCAGTCCTACTCCATTACTCTATCCGCTACACCACACTGGGTACCCTATGACTGCTGTTCAATATTATTCAATATTATTAAACAATGTTAATTTTATAAAGTCAGCTTATGACTTACATTTTAAAAAAGAATAATTATTTTTTTTAACATGAGATCTTGCACCATCATAGAAGAAACTGCCCATCTTTTGTGAGATAATTTTCAATAAAATAAAGTTGTTGTGGGTTTTTTGGGCTCTTTGGCTGTGTTCTGAAGATTGTTCTTTCTAATGTTTTGCCAGTCTCTGTGGCCGGCATCTTCAGAGGACAGCACTCTGTGCTCTGGTGTAGTTTGCTTGGGAGTTGAGTATTTATGGCTGTGAGATCAGCTTTTGTCCTTTTCAGGAGCTGGGCGATTAGTGTGTCTTGTTGAGGGTGTATTGTTGTGATAAGGAGGAGAGATTATCTGTCACTGTGATTGATGGGCGTCTTTAGCTGGTCTTTTGTGTGTAGTAATCCCTGGTCCTTGTGGCTGGGTAGAGTTCGTTGACCTTTTGCACGCTGTATTTTTGAGAGCTGGGAGCCAAGTTTTGTTGAGTTTCAAACTTTCCTCTTTTTTGCTGACGTTCTGCTGGTGCTTGTGGATTTCAATGGCTTACCTGTGCAGTCTGACATAATGATTGCTGGTGTTCTCCAGTATTTCAGTATTATGAAATAGAATTTCATGTCCAGCTTGTTTTAGGGCATGTTCAGCTACTTCAGATTTTTCTGGTTGTTTTAGTCTGCAGTGTCTCTCATGTTCTTTGATTCTGTTGTGAATGCTGTGTTTTGTAGTTCCAGTATATACGTACCTGTCCACAACTGCAAGGTATCCGATATACTCCTGCAGTGGTAAGGGGGTCCCTTTTGTCCCTTGCTGACAGTAACATTGGTTGCATTTTTGTGGTGGTTATAATTTTGGCATAATTAAACCACATCAATTTCTGTAGCCTAAAATTTGCAAAGAAACTCTTTATGGATAATAACAGGCATGGCAACATTTAATAAAGAGCAGGCCTCCTGTATTACTCTTTTGGGCAAGGGTACATTCACTCAGTGGAAGATTGCAGTGATAAAAACAGTTGAAGATCATCAGAGCTACATTCAAAAAGAATGCTACTGTAGCTAAGGTCAACAGAACTCTGTGGGATTTACTTCTCAGTACACAAGCAAAGGATTGTGCTATAGATACTCCAGACAACAAAGATTTTATTACTTGTTTCCAAAAAGTATGTACAAGCAACATTGGCTGAAATCCTGTTGCATAGATACACAACCAGAACAACTTTTACCAGCAAATTGTCATATGAAATCTCCATAGACATCACAAAAATTTCTATGGCGGTTGTAGCATTCACCCTGATCATTAATATTTATGTTGATATTTGCATGCCCCAATTGGAGTTGGTGAGGGGCAGAGTTAAGTGGGGTGAAGAAAAGGAGGGAGAGGGAGAGGGAGAGAAAGAGCAGTTAAGAGTGAAGAAAGATGGTTGTTTTAGTTGAGAGTTAGTGACATTGACTGGACTGTTATCACCTGTAACAATAAACAATTTCTACTTGGTTCTTAAATGACACGTTGCCTGGACCTCTGTCATTAATAGTGAATAACGTTGATGTAACCAACTGGTGGCAGCTGAACGACACGTAGCTTGTGCCTTTGCTTGGTGAAACAAACAAGGGACAGGCAGGAACGTGACAGTGATTTCTTAAATTATGACAATTCACCACTAAGTTATTAAATTACACTTTTTGCACAAATATGAAGCAGTACTTTGGGCAACTGAAATCCTGTGGAAATTATATACAGATTTTTTCATGACCTTTTGCATTAGGAAGTAGTCTGGATTAAATCAATGAAGCATAACCTTGACTTGTCAAAACATATTAACACTCTCCATTGCAGACAACTGATGTAAGACGATTCATACGTTTCATGAAAACATGGCTTGCCATGACTTAATTTAAATATAAGGAGATCCAATACTTGTTAATAAATGTCCCTTCAACTCTCTCAGCTTGTTCACATGTAACCTTATTGGTATAACTAGCTCAAAATGTGGTTTTGATTGGGTCAGGAAGCATGGATGAGACGTAGCAGCAAAGTACTGTTTGTTTTGGAAACAATCAATCTGAATTACCACATGAACGAAAAAGCACATAACACCAAAACATGGTGTGGCATTAATAGAATCATAGAACAGTGAAGTTGGAAGAGGCCTATGAGGCCATCAAGTCCAACCCTGTGCTCAGTGCAGGAATACTGTATAAATCAAAGGATATCTGCCAGGTGGTTGTCCAAATTTCTCTTGAATGCCCCCAGTGTTGGAGAACTCACCAGCTCTCAAGATAATTGGTTCCATTGTTCCATTTTGCCTGAATATCTTGTTACCCATCAATTCTCTAAGAAATAGGTTTATGCCTACAAACAAGCACCTGTATATTATTCTTGCAATTTGTACATAGAATATTTTGTTACTCATCAATTCTCTAAGAAATAGGTTTATGCCTACAAACAAGCACCTGTATATTATTCTTGCAATTTGTACATATAGGCTAGTGCCTATTGCATAGCTCCATTTGCATAATGAGAGTGACATCACTGGTAGCAGCTCCTAATTAAAGTGTTCCTTTTTATTTCAGAGTGTGTCCAGCTTCATGTAACTCTATACATATCATATATAGCCTTGCAAACTAAAAAGGACTACTTTAATTATCACCCAACTGCCACTGCCAATGACATCACTCCTGGTGTATAGGCAGAGCTATGCAATAGGATAGTGGCCTATATGTACAAAGTGCAACTACATATAATACACAGCTGTTTGTTTGTAAGAATATACAGTATGTCACAGAAGTAAGCACACCCCCTCACATTTCTTAAATATTGTAGTTTATCTTTTCATATGACAACACTGAAAAAAATGACACTTGGCTACAATGTAAAGCAGTGAGTATAACAGTGTAAATGTGATGTCCCCTCATAATAAAACAACACAGCCATTAATGGTATTATATGCTTTACATTTGTGTGGTGATTCAGATTGGTTGCTTCTGTTTCACTGCAAACAGTACATTGTTACTATGTCATATCCATGCTGGCCATAAGGTGAAGTTAAGCATCCATTTATGTTGTGCTCAAAACTGGCTAATATGTAACTATGTGTTATGTTGTGAAGAAAAATGCTTTTTGGACTGACTGTTCTGCAAAGGTATATGCTTTACATTTGTGTGGTGATTCAGATTGGTTGCTTCTGTTTCACTGCAAACAGTACATTGTTACTATGTCATATCCATGCTGGCCATAAGGTGAAGTTAAGCATCCATTTATGTTGTGCTCAAAACTGGCTAATATGTAACTATGTGTTATGTTGTGAAGAAAAATGCTTTTTGGACTGACTGTTCTGCAAAGGGAAAGACAGACTGCTCAAAACTGGCTAATATGTAATGTGTTGTGTTTTAGCATGTTCCAAGAAACTGTCAAGAATGACTACACAGCAAGGCCAATGAAACAGAATGAAAACTATTGGGAAACTCTCCTCATACAAGTTTAATAATTTAAAATGTTTATAGTATAAGATCACAACCAAGCTCTGTGGACCACACCATATTCTGATTATTAATTCAACTGAAGAAAAGTGCTTTTTGGACTGACTGTTCTGCAAAGGGAAAGACAGAACTGTTTTGTATAGGAAGATCAAATGCTATACCTTAAAAAAGCGTAGGTAGCTGTGTTAGTCCATTTTGGAAGTGGGAAGGGAAAAAATGCAGTTCTAGCATAATGCCTTTTATTAGCAACAGAACTAATAAGGTTTTCAAGGTAAGTGAGAAATTTAAGGAGATATTTTACCAGTTCCACTCCCCCAAGTGGCTTTTCATGGCCTAGGGGGGATTTGAACCCTGTTATCCAGGGTCCTAACCTGTCACTTTATCCACTACACCAGAACTGTAAAATAGATGTTATGGCCCCATGATTTCCTTTTGTCTCTTTCACACTTCTGTCCATGTCCCAAACAAATACAATGCATTTTCCCCTATTATAGTTCAGTTTCATAACTCACATGTTCAAACATTAAGTACTTTGAGCTCCATTCATAAAGATGGGTTTACTATAATTTCTCACAAATTCAGACAAAACTTGCTCTTTGGTTTTTGTGTTCTTCCCTTTAAAAATAATAATTTGTTTTTAAATTTCATTTCAAAACATATTTTTATGCAAAAGAAAGGATTTGCAAACCAAGTGTTCCATTTAAGTTTTCTGCTGAATGCTGCAAAATCACATTATACTATTCAGTTAAGCTTTTCGCCCCTGCCTTTATAAGTCAAACCCAGTTCAGCAATTACAGTTCCCAGTTTTATAATTTCCTAATAAACTTCAAATAGTGCAAACAATTCTCTTGCATCAGTTCTGGGTACACTATAGTTTTCTTTAATTTGAATAACTAGAAGGCTTATTGACAATATAGGGAAATGTAAACGTTACAAAAATCTATTCTGTGCAGTTTATACATTAAGATCTCCATGAGTTTCGTTCTATCTAATTTTATCCACTGTTTTGTACTGAAAAAATACGATCACTGACACCACCAGAATAAAACTCTTTGGTGAAAACAAAGTCTCCTCTAGTCAATCAGGTTTTGCTGCTGATTTCAATTGGATTTTGATTCAACTGTTGTACTTTCCCCCCTAGATCTATTAAATCATGGAAGAAGCAGAACCATTTGTGTCCTTAATGTACAGGTTCCAGTGGACTCAGAGTTTTAGCAGGTGAGGAAAGCTCTACCTCACAGTAGCTAAAACCATACCCATCCAGCAAATCTTTCTGAGAAATGTCAGCCAAATAAGCTTTGACAGGACTCTGTGCGTTCTTCTTCTCCAGAGATTTATGCAGGAGCTCCTTCATCCTCCTGTTTTCTTTGGTGGTTGATTCCCAAATTATTTCAAGTTCACCTTCCATTTCCCTGGGAAGAAAAAAGAAAATGCAAAGGTTTTTAAAGACAGCTATTAAGCTGAACTATCAAATTAGCATTGGTAGGGTAATTATTTTTATCATTCATTTGTACCTTATTGTATTTATTGTATTTATTTATTTATTTATTTATTTATTTATTCATTCGTTCGTTCGTTCGTTCGTTCATTCATTCATTCATTCAATTTATATCCTGCCCATCTAGACCGAAGTCTACTCTGGGCGGCTAACAATAATAGATAAAAGTAAAAACAATGTAATAAAATAAACATAACAGTAATAATATAATCCAAGATGGCAAAAGTAATCAGGTGATGTCAGGAGGGAAAGCCTGCTTAAAGAGCCTTGATTTTGAAAGCACACAAAGAGTTCCTTGGCCCATATTGAAAATGTCATGCGCAGCTGTAAGAATTCTTTATGAAATTCCTGTTAATTTCAAGAAGGTTGCACATTGCATTTTTTTCCATGAGGATCACCTCTAAGGGAGAGAAAATTAGACAACCATCTGTGATATATACTTTGATTTGGATTCCTGGATTGAGGAGGCCATTGGACTTGATGGTCTTAGAGGTTCCTTCCAACTCCAGGATTCTATGATTCTAGTGAGGAGGGCACTGGACTTGATGGTCTTAGAGGTTCCTTCTAACTCCAGGATTCTATGATTCTATGCTTCACTATGTTTCAATGAAGCACAGTGTCTGAAACAAACATAGAGACACTGGGATAAGGGATCCTTTAAGTTTACATGATTCCTACAGCATTTTGCCTTTTATGTTATTTTAGGCTCATATGATACTGTAATTCTCTTTACTCACTGGACTTGATGGTCTTAGAGGTTCCTTCTAACTCCAGGATTCTATGATTCTATGCTTCACTATGTTTCAATGAAGCACAGTGTCTGAAACAAACATAGAGACACTGGGATAAGGGATCCTTTAAGTTTACATGATTCCTACAGCATTTTGCCTTTTATGTTATTTTAGGCTCATATGATACTGTAATTCTCTTTACTGTCAGCTCCATAGTTGAGCACATATTTTGCATAAAGACGGCCCTATGTTCAATTCCCATCTCCAGCACTGAAGAAGAAATACTGTATGTTCCAAGGGACAAGAAAAACATCTGTACCAAAGGCTTGAAGAACTTCTCCGTTTATGAACAAAAGTGGAGTGTATAAGTTCTTTTCTCTCAGTGAAGGATGCAACATATGCAGATTTTCTGAGCCTCAGCCAAAAAAAGGAGTCTTAATATAGAAATTAACAAACTGGCAATTGCTGAGATTTTTTGCTTCTGCATGACAACAGAAACACATTTTCTTTCTTCAATTTTTTTCTGTAAAAATATTAAAAAACAAAAAAGTATTTTGTATCAAAATGTTTGTATTTTGTACTAAATCTAAGGTTTTGTAGCCAAATATTTTTTTTCTGCAGAAACACCTCTCTGAATTTCTCAGAAAAAGGCTAAAATATGAAATATGTAGAATGACATACAGTGGTGCCTCACATAGTGATCACTCCGTTTAGCGACGAAATCGCTTTGCAACGCATTTTTTGTGATTGCAAAAGCGATCGCTTTGCGATGTTCCCTATGGGGGAATTTCCCTTTGCGATGATCAGTTCCCTGCTTCGGGAACCGAGCATCGCAAAGCGATGATTTTAAAACAGCTGATCAGCGGTTTCAAAATGGCCGCCAGGTAAACAAAATGGCCGCTCGCTGTTTTCTGGGACGGATTCCTCACTTAAGAGGCACCAGAAATGGCTGCACCATGGAGGATCTTCGCTGAACTGTGAGTTTTAAGCCCATAGGAATGCATTAATCACACTTTAATGCGTTTCTATGGGCTTTTTTATTTCACATTGCGACATTTTCGTTCTGCAGCGATTTTTGCGGAATAAATTAACGTTGCAATGTGAGGCACCACTGTACATTATAATAACAACTGCATGCAGTCAAGTCAGTTATTTCAAGGGTATTCTAGGTAGAGAATACACAGAAGTAGTTTACCATTCCCTCCTTGTGGGAGCATCAGAAAAAACCTGTTTTTTGTCTTATTTGCAAGAATAAAGTAACCATAAACTTGCAACCCTAGTCTAAGTGTATTTGGCAGCTTTATGTGTTAAATCGTCTTAAGATCTTGTGAGTGCACAAAAACGAAAGGGTTTTGTGGTAATTTGCTGGTAAAAAAAAACACAAATGCAGGAATCCAAATTAAAAAACCCAACAAATAATATAAATATTTGTGCATATATAAAATAAATCTTGTTGGAATCAAGGCATATATTTATCTAACCCAGGATCCTGGTCCACAGAATGGTTCAATCATAAGCCTCCAGAATCTGGAGGCAATATTTAAACCAGACTTCAAGGCAATAGCCCTCTGCCACTATTAATCCCGAACAACTGTTCAATGGCATGCTGCCTCCTAAAAACAGTTTCCATTCAGCTACCATGGTTGGATAAACCCACAAGCTAACTAGGTGTGGGCTGGATAGATCAAGTGCCAGGTGGATACTTCATTGGCTACAGAATTCTACTCAGAGGGTGATGATTTATGGGTCCTTGTCTAACTGGGAGGAAGTAACAAGTGGGGTATCCCAAGGCTCAGTCACGGGCCTCGTGCTCTTCAACATGACTTGGATCAGGGAGTGCAGGGAATGCTAGTCAGATTTGTGGATGACACAAAATTGGGTGGAATAGCTAATATCCTGGAAGAAAGAAACAAAATTCAAAATGATATCGATAGGCTGGAGCACTGGGCTGAAAACAACACAATGAAATTCAACAGGGAGTACTGCGCCTCGGAAAAAGAAAACAATGCACAGTTACAAAATGGGGGGATACCTAATGCAGGAAGGATCTTGGAATTGTCATAGACCTAGTGCAGGAAGGATCTTGGAATTGTCATAGATCACAAGCTGAATATGGGCCAATAGTGTGATGTGGCTACAAAAAGGGCAAATGCTATTTTAGGCTGTATTAACTGAAGTATAGTTTCTAAATCCCACAAGATGCTAGTCCCTCTCTATTCAGCACTGGTTAGGCCTCACCTTGAGTACTGTGCCCAGTTCTGAACACCACACTTCAAGAAGGATGCTAACAAACTGGAACCAGTTCTCAGGAGGGCGACAAGGATCATTACGGGGCTGGAAACCAAGCCCTGTGAGGAAAGACTGAAAGAACTGGGCATGTTTAGCCTTGAGAAAAGAAGACAGAGAGGTGACATGATCACAATTTTCAAATACTTGAAAGGCTGTCATACAGAGGAGGGGCAGGATCTCTCCTCAATCCTCCTTGAGTGCAGGACATTCAACAATGGTCTCAAGTTACAGGAAGCCAGATTTTGATTGAATATCAGGAAGAACCTCTTAACTGTTAGAGCAGTACGACAGTGGAACCAATTCAAGCGGGGGTGAGTGCTCCAACACTGAAGGCATTCAAGAGAAACTTAGACAACCACCTGGCAGATACCCTTTGATTTATATTCCAGGATCAAGCAGGGGGTTGGACTTGATGGCCTTATAGGCCCCTTCCAACTTCACTATTCTATGATTCTATATATGCATTTATTTATTCATTCATACAGGAATTATCAGTCCTCTGTTTTGTTGTTTACATATGCTCACAAAAGCCTACAGATTAAAACCAGAGTTTCAAAATTTTAAAAAATACGGTAACATTACAATATCAGTTTTTTAAAAAGGAAGCCTCGAATGGGTCACCCAGATCCAAGGCACCAGGTGCTCCACAATGCTTGTGCAGACAAGTCTTTGTTTCTTGACACTATTCTGTTCTGTTTCTCTTTTTCCTCAGGAGAATTTCTGAAGTTGTCATGGCCCATCCTGGATTGAAAGGAGCCTTCTGAAGCCCTCCTATATCTTTCCAGCTCAGAGACATAGCCATGTTTGACTCTGAAAGTGACTCCTCTGCAGCTTTTCCTGTCCTTCAGCTACAGGGGAGCTAAAGATCGCAGAAACTGCCAGAGGTCCTTTAGGAATTATAGTTCGCCATCCAGGAGTGGGGGAGTCAGAAAAAGACAACTCCCTCTCTCAGCCTTTATATACGACAGTCTCTTTCGGAGACCACTTTTTCCAACTCAATCAGCAGAGCAAAATGGCAACTATCCATGGTCCTGACTGCTGCTCATCTAAGTCAGCTGTGATCTGGCTTGCCTTATCTTGTACAGAATTATAGTGGTTCAGACAATATGATCCACATGCTTGATCTGATTACGTCATATGGATCTGTGGAAGTTACCCTACCTTTTGGCTCTACTACCTTGTTGCTCAAGTGTCAAACACCCAGAACAGAATCACAGATGACTCCTAGGCTGAAGAGGACTGCAGGTGTCACTGAGTCTAGTTCCCTGCTAAAGCAGGAAATCTGTCTAAAATAGGTGGACAACCCAACTATTTAAACACCTCTCATGCTGGGAAATCCACTAACCAACAAAGCAGTCCATTCCGTTGTCAAACAGCTCTCACCATTAGGAAATTCTTCATAATCATGAGTCAAAATTGCCTTTCCTTTAATTTGAATCCATTATTTCAGTTCCTGCCCTCTAGAGATCCACAAAACAAGCTGACTCCTGCTTCTGTGTGACAGCCCTTCAAATATTTGAAAATAGCTATCATATCATCTCAGTTTTCTCTTCTAATTAGGCATCCTTCAGTCTCAAGAGACTATGGTAACATGCTCTGAATAGAGGACTTGAAACAGTGTCTAGTGTGGCTGAGAAGGCCAATTCGGCTGTCACAATCCCTTCCACGCTGAAGAAAAATACAATCCGTCCCCGCATCTAGCTCCCTGATTTGGCTGGTTTCAGGACTGCCTCTCTGGCTTGGCCTAGTGGACAAGTGTCTCTTCAAAATGGGAGAGGCTATGATGCACCGCCTGCATCCAGGCTGAACACTCATATGTCAAGGTTTCCCATCTGTTGAGGTCCATTTCTAAGGCCTTCAGATCCCCCTTGCAGCTATCCTTGTATCACAGCTG